GTTGCTAGTGAAGATTTCATGGGGGAGCCAGGCATTCTGGCACATACCTGTGATCCCAGCCCTCGGGAGGCCGAGGCAGGAGGATTGCTGTGAGTTCGAGGCCAGCCTGGGCTGCATAGTGAGTTCAAGGCCAGGCTGAACTACATAGTGAGACCCTGTCTCACAAAATTTAAAAAAGAATATTTCATGGGGGAAGTGGGTCTTGAAAAAAATCCAGAATTTAGATTAGCTGGACTGGGCTAGAAGAATTTTGTTGACATTTCACCACAAAAATAATTGCTTAGGAAAGACCCTGAGGGAAAGTTTAGTTGGTTGTTTAAAACAACAGCAAACTTTATTCTTGTTTTTCGTTTGTTTGTTTCTTTTGTGTTGTTTTTTTTTTGGTACCAGGGATCGAACTCGGGTCCTTGTGCTTGCGCAGCAGGCGGTGAAACCACTGAGCTAAATCCCCGGCCCTAGCAAACTTTATTCTTGTAAGTAGTCGAAATATAATCAGATAATTAAAGTGGTTGAAAAAAAGTTGCTCTAATGGAGCAAGAACCTTGAATTGCAAATTGAGATATTAAAACTTGTTAGAATGTAAATCCCTTTACGGAAGCATTCTTATCAAGGTTTTATTTTGTTTGAATATCTAAGATTTTCAATATAATAATATAATTAACTAATATTGAGTGTTTTGCTCTGCTAAGCAGTGTTCTAAGTGTTTTCTGTGTAATAATAACTCAATGTTTACAGCAATCTTTTGTCGTAAGTTCTATTTTAACTTCTTTGTTTTACAAAGGAAGATGTAGAAATGAGAAATACTTTAACTTGTTCAGGTTGACACAAGTAAGTGACAGTCAATATTCGGGCCCAGGTAGTTTCTTGTAGCAGATTTTATATTCTTACCTGTTATACAAACAACTTTTTGAAGGAGTATATAAGTGCTACAGATAAATTGAGCAATTTGGAAAATTGAACCCGTCTCCTCTGTTGAAAGATAATTTTCTCAAACATTACTCACATTGGGACATGATAATCTCTTCATGCCAAATATATATTTTTTGTTCAAGAAAAATATCTATAACGTCTCTTTATGCTAGAATATTTTAGATTTTTTTTTTAATGCTAAGGATGAAACCTTGCCTTTCACATGCTAGGCAGGAGTTCTACCACTAAGCTATATTCCTAACCCCTGGGATAGAATATTTTTAAAAATAAAATTATTAGTTTGTCATATGAAGTGATATTTTGGGGGGTCCTTTTGTCCTTGAGGTTATTTTTTATTGGTACACGTTTGTAGTACATAATGATTACGTTCATCATGGGGAGTTAGTACATGCACATAACATATCTTACTTTTTTTTTCATCCCCTTCCCCTCCTCTTTCTCCCCCTTCCCTCCATCTCTTGGTCCCCTATCATTTTGTTAAAGACTTATTTCCAGGCTGGGGATTTAGCTCAGTGGCACTGCGCCTGCCTCGCAAGCACAAGGTCCTAAGTTTGATCCCCGGTATCAAAAAATAAAAAAAGACTTATTTCCTATAATCTTGTATTTTGCTCTTTTTTATATTTTGGGTTTCTTATGTAAGAGGAAACATGAAATATTTAAGCTTTGTCCGATTTATTTCACTTAACATTGTAGTCTCCAGGTGCATCCATTTTCCTATAAATGATGGAAGTTATCCCTCTTTATGGGAAAATAGTATTCCATTGTATATGAATGCCACATTTTTTTTACCCATTCATCTGTTAATGGACATACAGGCTGATTCCAAGATTTAGCTATTTATGAGTTGTGCTGCTATAAACATGGGTATGTATGTATGTATCACTGCAGTATGATGACCTTTAACTCTTTGGGGAAGATACCAAGAAGTGGAATAGCTGGATCAAATGGAATTTCTAGTTTTAATTTTTGAGGAATCTCCATACTGATTTCCGTAGTGGTCATACTAGTTTACTTTCCAACCAACAGTGTAGAAGGGTTCCTTTTTCCTTGCAGCTTTGCCAGCTTTGTTATTATTTGATTTCTTGGTGATAGCCATCTTTCTGGAATAAAGTAGAATCTCACTGTTGTTTTAATTTGGATTTCTTTAATGGCAAGAGATGTTGAATGTTTTTTCATGTATTTCTTGGTCATTTATACTTCTTTCTCTGAGAAGTGTCCATTAATATCTGTTGCCCATTTTTTATTAGATCTTTTGTTTTCGGGTAGGCTAAATTTTTTTGAGTTCTTTATATATTCTAGGTATTAGTCCTCTGTCCAAGGAATAGGTAACAAAATATTTTTCTATTCCATAGGTTGTCTCTTTGCTCTGGTTATTTCCTTTACTGTGCAGAAACATTTTAATTTGATGTGATCCCATTTGTTGATTCTTGATATTATTTCTTATACAATTGAGGTTCTGTTCAGAAAGTCCTTGCCTATGTCTTAAAGAATTTTACCTATTTTATTTTTCAGCAGGTTGTTTCTGTTTTAACATTTAGATCTTTGATGTGTTTTGATTTTAGTTTTTACCTAGTAAGAGATATGAGTCTACATTCAGTCTTCTGCATGTAGATAGCCAGTTTTCCCAGCAACTTTTGGTCAAAAAAAGGCAGTGTTTCCTCCAGTGTATTTTTTGGCCCCTTTGTTAAAATCAGTTAGCTGAATGTGCCTAGAGTTGTCTGTGCATCCTCTATTCTGGCCTATTGATATACATGTGTCTGGTTTTTGGCCAGTACCATGCAGTTTTAATCTCTTGTCTTATTGCTCTAGCTAATGTTTTGAGAACTATATTAAACAGAAGTGATGATAGCAGACATCCTTGTCTTGTTTCTGATTTTAAAGGGAAAGGTTTATGCTTTTCTCCATATAATATGATGTTGGTGGTAGGTTTGTCATAAATGGCTTTTATAAGATTAAGATATGGTCCTTCTATACCTATTTTCTTCAAGATTTTTATCAGGAATGAATGTTCTATTTTGTCTTTTTTCTATATCTGGAGATGACCATGTGAATTTTGTCCTTGCTTCTGTTTATGTGGTGTATTATATTTATTGATTTGCATATGTGGTACTATCCTTGAATCCCTGGGATGAAGCCTACTTGGTCATGATGTATGATCTTTTTTGATGATTTCTTGCATTCTGTTTGCAAGTATCTTGTTGAGAATTTTTGTGTCTATGTTCATGAAAGAGATTGGCCTGTAGTTCTTTTTTTTTGGTTGGGTCCTTTTCTGGTTTGGGAATCAGTGTATTGCCAGCTTCTAGGAATGACTTTGGAAATACTTCTTCCCTTTTGATTTCATTAAAGAGTTTGAGAAGTATTTATGTTAAATATCCTATTAATGGTTATACTGGTAAAGATAGAAAGAGTGGGGAATGGGAGAATAAAAGTAGAAAAATTTGAAAAATTAAACAATGTAAGATGAGAAGGAGGAGAGAAGTGTGAGATAAAGGATCCTATTAAGGAGTAAAATGAAATTAATAGAATAAGATACAGGTAACAGTAAAGAACAAACAAGAAAACAAAAAAGAAAAAGTAATAGTCAAAAAGGAAAAATTTTAAAGGAAAAGAAAAAAAGGAAAAAAGATAATTCCCCCCAATCCTCAAAAATGAATTAAGAAGAAAAATAAATGAGATAATATTTTTCTGTGTAGTTTTGAATGAGTAATTTCCTTCTAAGATCTGCTGCTTTGAAATCTAGCAATTCACATTTTTTCCACCTAGCTCTATGCCCTGTGGGTTCTTGAGGTATCCCCCTGTTCCAGAGGGCCCTCTGTCTGTTCACCACAGGCTGTAGCAACTGTCCACACTGAGGAATGTCCTTGTTCATGTTGGTAGATGGAAAAAGCAGTCAGATCTCTGATCTGTGCTGGATGTAGGCAGGCAGCAGGGCAAGGGTTAAAACAGTCCATGATATTTAATACCAACCAACACTTTCAGACCCAGCCACTTCTGAAGCCACACATACCAAGCCTGGCTTCTCTCCGTGGAAGGTGGGGCTCATGTACTTTATGGCCTGAGGTTAAACTTTTCAGAGAGTCTATGTCTAGCCTGTACCCTCTCTGCTACTGTCTTCCTTGGCTCTCTCTAACCCAGTCACTGTGAGAGGATAACACTAGAAACCCTGAAGTGAATTTGTTTTTTAGTTGTCCTTAAACAATCAACCTATTCTCAAAGTAGTGCTTATTAAACACTCTCTAGCAATGTGCTGGGCCCTAACTGGAGTTCTCCAACTATTGCCTTCTTTGTAGGAGGAGTCACTTTCAAAGTACATCAGCATGTTGTTTTTGCAGTTTACAATAGCTGTGGGATTTTCTTGGGGCTGGCTCTGTCCGTTGTTTGTCATCCCTATAGCACCTACCCTGTGCCTGTGTAGACAGGTTCCCCTCACCGGGAGCCAGGGTAAGCTTACAGACTGCTTCATCTTTTTCTTTGCATTGTGGTTCATTTCTCCAATTTGTCTGTAACTTCTAATTTTCCTTATAGTTCTCTTGCAATTCCTAGAGATCTACTTTTTTACTTTTCACAAAGTTCTTATTTTCCAGGTGTGTAGATTCTGAGTCCCAGAGAGGCTGTATTTTGCTGCTGAGTGCTCCTGGCATTTTGCTTCTCCTAATAATTAATCTCTGTTATGCTTTATAACTAGATGTCTCCCAGGAGCCTCATGTGCTCATAGGTAGGGCTTTCAATATGTGATTGGGTTATGGGACTTTATAGTTGGCTTGTTCTTAGAAGGTAGGGTCGGTTGAAAGAGGTAGACCACTGGGGGTGGGGCCTGGAGAGGTTTGTCCCCCTCCCTGGCTCCTCCTTTCACCCTCTTTCTGCTTCCTGGCCACATGATGTCAGCAGCTATCCTCCACTATACCCTTCTGCCTTGCTGTTCTGCCTTGGAGCCAGGGGACTATGGACTGAAACACAAGCCAAAATAAACCTCTCCTCCTTTTAAGTTTCGACCAAAAGGGAAGTAACCAAGACTATTTTTATTTACCTCTTATGAAATCCTGATTTCAACAGTCTTTCTATTGTAACAGGTCTTCTAGTTGGAACTCTTGACTCGGTTTTGGACTCTACTGCTAAAGTGGCTCCATTCCGTATCCTACATCAGACACCAGATTCTCAAGTTTACTTGTCAATTGCATGTGGTGAGTATTATTTTTTAAATATGCAATTCAAATTAAATCGGACATTAAGAAACTGAATATTCAAATTTATACTTCCTAATTGTTTTGAGATCTAGAAACGAGTTAAATATATAACTCTACTTTGAGAGAATAACAAGACCTCTGTTTATTAAAGAAGAATTACTGATTATTGGGAATTTAAAAATCCATTGATGAGAGTAACATCAAGCATGGAGTCCAGAAGCACTGATTCTGAGCAGACTTTGGTCAGTGCTACTGCTACCTGACTCCTTTCTTCAATCTTTGCTTCACACAACTGCTGAGAAGTTAAGACTTGCCCCATGAAATATGTTGTTTCATTTCTAATAACTTGGATGAGGAATATCTGAATTTAACTGTGAGTTCAAAACTTAAAGAGTTTCCCTTAAAGAAGTATAAGCTGGAAACATTGAATTTTTTTATTTATATGCCTACTTTCTCACAAAAGGGATCATATCCTTGAAATATACAGGAATGTCCTACAGGTAATGCTAAATATTCATTCATACCAAGGTGGTCCAGATATTTCCACATTTTTATTATAGGTAGGAGAGGAAATAGGATTAATTCTTCCTACTAAAGCAAGTCAACATAGTTCCTTTTTTTTTTCTTTAATCCACAGTGACACTTTTTTTAATGCCTTTGTAATGTTTCTTGTCTTTTAAATGTTGAATGACTCCCTTTTTCTCTTTCTTCTCCCTTTCTCTTCTAAAGTAGCTATACTTTTTTATTTTTTACTACTCCACATTTGCAGTACATATTAATTACATTCATTGTGATGAATTAGTAAATGTATATATACTTTTTTGAAAGAACAAAAGCACATTTGTAGATATTTCCCATGTGTGAACCTATAGCATATAATTCATGTTTTAGTATGTGTAGCTTGTTCTTTGTATTTCCCCTCTAAATTTCCTTTAGTGTCACTATTGACTCTTTTCCCTTGGCTGTCTTAAATTGAATGCCACTTAAAGTAGATGAAGATGACATGAGAATTCTGTAATCTCAACTCTAAATCTACTTGATCAAAGTTATTTAGAAACAGGCCAGCGATTTAGCTCAGTGGTTTCGCCACCTGCTGCACAAGTGCAAGGACCCGAGTTCGATACCAGGTACCAAAAAAAAACTATTTAGAAAACAGTATCCTTTCTAGGGTGGAGATATAGCTCAGTGGAAGAACACTTGCTTAGCACATGCAAAGCACTGAGTTCAATAACCTGTACCACAAGAGTTAGTAAATGAATGTCCTTTCTAATTAAAAAAGGATAACTTTATATAATTTATTCTCCTTAATTAAGCTGATACATAAATATAGTAGTTACCTGTTGATGAGCTTCTTTATACAGAAAGTCCCTGACTTATGAACATTCAAGTTGTGAAGTTTCACAGATACAAACAGATCTCGCATCACAAACATTCATAGATGCAAACAAATTGCGGAAGTAGTTCATGTGTCTGCTGGACATTGTCACAGTTGTACAGTGGTACCTCGGTACACAAACACTTTTGTATCAGGTGACAAACACAACAGCAGCCATCTTTTCCAGAAGTATGCAATGAATTAAGTTTGTGAACCAAGGTACCACTGTACTGCTGTGTACTGACTGTGCAGTGCAATAGTTTGCAGTAGTACAGTAATACCTTGGTTCATGAATGCTTCTGTTTGCAAACAGTTCAGTTCTCAAACAGAAGTGTTTGGCAAAATTTTGTTTCCATTCTTTTCAGGTAATGAACACAACTGCAGACATCTTCCCTGCTCTAACACGTGGTTGTTGCTTCCTATAGTTGAGGTCAGTTGCAAACAGACCTGTGCACACTTGCTGTAAATCTTTTTTGTGTGTTTTTAGCACATACAGTACTGTACAGTATTATGCAATCCACCATGGCTCCAAAGAAAGTGCAGAGCAAGTATGGTAGTAAAAAGAAAGTGCAGAGCAGTAATGAAGGTGACAAGAACATGCAGAGTGATAATGAAGGTAACCAGAATGTGCAGAGCAGTAATGAAGGTGACAAGAATGTGCGGAGCAATACTGAAGGTAATAAGAAAGTGCAGAGCGACCATGGTAAGAAGGTTTTGAAGAAAACCATTGAATTGAAGAAGGAAATTATAGAAAAGCATGAGTATGGTATTTGTGTGACTGATCTGGTCTCAGAGTACAAGATGGTGAAGTTGACAATCTCAACTATTTTGAATAAAGATGCCATCAAAGGAGCTGATGTGGCAAAAGGAGTAATGATGTTAAAGCAGGGGATGTAAGTGCTGGAAGTTGTGGAAAACTTTCGTTAGTGTGGTTGAATGAGTAACAGCTGACTGACTGGTAATAGCATTAGTGAAGCTATGATCTGTGAAAAAGCCAGGAAATTGCACCGTGATTTACTGCAAGAAAACTTCTCTACAAGTGCAACAAGTGATGAATCTAAAGCCAGTAGGGAGTGGTTTGATAAGTTCCAAAAGAGAAGTGGCATCCATAGTGTGATAAGACATGGTAAGACTTCCAGTTCTGACAAGGCCACTGCAGAAACCTACAAGAAAGAATTCACAGAATTCATGAAGATAGAAGGACATGTTGCTCAACAAGTGTTAAACTGTGATGAAACAGGGCTCTTCTGAAAGAAGATGCTGAACAGAACCTATATAATGCAGGAGGAAAAGGCATTGCCAGGGTGCAAGCCCATGAAAGTCTGATTGACCCTTTTGCCATGTGCAAATGTAAATGCCGATCTGAAGATAAGCCACCACTGGTGTACTATTCCCAGACCCCTCATGCATTCAAGGAACAGAATGTGAACAGGGCCAGACTGCTTGTCATATGGAGGGCCAATGCGAAACCTTGGGTCACAAGGCAGTTGTTCATGGAATGGCTGCAAGAGATGTTCTCACCTACTGTTAAGAAATATCTTTCTGACAACCAACTGCGTGAAAGATGCCTTCTGATGATCAATGCCCCGGCACACCCTCCAGCCTTAGTGGATGATATGGATGCTGAGTATGACTTCATAAAGGTCAAGTTCCTCCCCACCAAACACAACACCTCTTCTGCAGCCCATGGACCAGCAAGTGATCTGCAATGTCAAGAAGCTGTTCTCAAAGGCACTCTTCATCAGGTGTTTTAATGTCACTGAACAGACATTCTGGACTCTGAATCTGGAAGAAACATTTCAATGTCCTCCACTATGTCAACCTCATTGACAAAGCCTATGAAGATGTCATCTACCAGACCTTAAACTTAGCCTAGAAGAAACTGTGGCCAGAATGTGTCACTGAATGTGACTTTGAAGGGTCTGATGCACAAGTAGTGGAGGAGATTGTGTCCATGGGCAAGAGTATGGGTCTGGATATCAATGGTGCAGACATAGAGGAGCTTGTTGAGGACCATAAGGAGGAGCTGGCAGTGGAAGAACTTGCTGAACTCTAAAGTGAGCAGCAGAAGGCACTTGTTGAGGAGCATTCAACTGAGAAAGAGGAAGACAAGGAGGTTAGCAATGATGTGATAAAATCCATTATGGAAAAATGGAATGAGTGCCAGGATTTCTTTGAGAAGCACTACCCCAACATAACTGTAATGAACAGAGTATTGAATCTGATGAACAGTAACGTGGTCTCTCATTTATGGAGCATTATGCAGCACAGGAAAAAGAAATGACATTAGACATATTTTTTATCAAAAAGGACCCTGCAGCCAAGAGTCAAAGAAGAGAGGAAACCCCTGAAGGAGAGCTCCCCAGTGTCCTTATGGAGAGGGACTCTCCCTCCAAACCATAACCTCCTCTCCACCCACCTTTCTGTCCTCCACGACAGAAGTCACCTCAAGCAAAGTTAGTGTTCTCTCTTCATACTGCACTGTAATTTGTTTCATATTTTTGTGGTTAAGAAATACATATGGTTCAGAACAAATTCACCTTATTTGCATTGAACCTTATGGAAAAATTTAATTTAGTTTGTGACCATGTTTGTGGGGATCAGAATGGATTAATCTTATTTACATTGAACCTTATAGGGAAATTTGATTCCGTTTGCAACCAATTTGATTCACAACCAGAATCATGGAACAAATTAAGTTTGTGAACCAAGGTACCACTGTACAGTGCTCAATCACTGCCCAGGATTTCTGGAATCAAGAGGAATAGGAGTGGTGATGTGGAGGGGACTTCTGGGAAGTGCAAAGCAGTATTCATTGTATATTTTCATCAAAGGTGTAATAACACTCACTTTGTCAGAGTTACAATTGAGTCCAACTTACGAACATTCTCCCAGAATGAAACTTGGTTGTAAGTAAAGGACTTACTATACAAAAATTCTCAAGACAAAGGTCTTACATAATACCCAAATTAAATAAAGTAGCTGGATACATCAACACACAAAAATCAGTAGCTTTCCTGTACACGAACAACAGACTCACTGAAAAAAGAACTGGAGAAAGAAATAACTCCCTTTACAATAGCATCCAAAAAATTGAAATACCTAGGAATCAACGTAACAAAAGAAATCAAAGACCTCTACTCTGAAAACTATAACACTCCAAAAAAAGAGACTGAAGACAATATCAGAAAATGGAAAGACATCCCTTGCTTCTGGGTAGGAAGAACCAATATAGTGAAAATGGCCATACTTCCAAAACTGCTATATAGATTCAATGTAATCCCAATTGAAATTCCAGCGGCATACTTCACAGACCTTGAGAAAACAATCAAAAAATTCATTTGGAACAAGAACAGACCTAGAATAGCAAAAGCAATTCTAGGCAATAAATAAGGTAGGGAGTATCACAATCCCCAACTTGAAACTACACTACAAAGCTACTGTGATTTAAAAAAAAACAACAGCATGGTACTGGCAAAGAAACAGACCCAAGGACCAGTGGAATAGACTAGAGGATGTGGAAACAACTCCAGACAAACTCAGCCACCTCAACTTCGACAAAGGAGCCAAACACCCTCACTGGAGGAAGGATAGCCTCTTTAACAAATGGTGCTGGAAAACTTGGGTTTCAACTTGCCAGAGATTAAAACTAGACCCATATGTCTCACCATGCACTAAACTAAAATTGAAATGGATTAAAGATCTAAATATTAAAACAGAAACACTAAACTGGCTAGAAGAGAGGTTAGGTAGAACTCTTGAAGACATTGGTGCAGGAAAAGATTCTATGAACAAAACTTTAGTTGCCCGTGAACTAGCACAATCAACAAGTGGGATTTCTTCTTACTAAAAAACTTCTGCACACCAAGAGAAACCACCAGCAGTGTGAAGAGACAACCCACAATGTGGGAAAAAATCTTCACCTGCTCTTCCTCAGACAAAGGTCTGCTATCTCAAATCTATAAAGAACTTTAAAAAAATCAGACCTCCCAAATTTAAAGACCCAATCTCAAAATGGGCATCTGAAATGAACAGACATTTCTCAGACAAAGAAGTAGAAATAGCAAATAAACATATGAAAAAATGTTCCACATCACTGGTCATTCGAGAGATGCAAATGAAAACAACGCTGAGATTCCACCTCACTTCAGAAAAAATGGCTGCTGTCATGAAATCAACCAATAACAAATGCTGGCAGGGTTGTGGGGAAAGAGGAACCCTGCTCCACTGCTGGTGGGGGTGTCTACTGGTGCAACCACTGTGGAAATCAGCATGGAGATACCTCAAAGAACTAGGACTCGAAGTCCCATTTGACTCAGCTATTCCCCTGCTGAGTATCTTCCCCAAAGAATTAAAAGAATCATGCCACAGTGATATATGTGCACCCATGTTCATAGCAGCACAGTTTGTAATGTCTAAAACTTGGAAACAGCCCAAATGCCCATCAACTGGAGACTGGATCAAGAAAATGTGGGTTTTTTTATAAAATGGAGTACTACTCAGCCATAAAAAAACGAGAAATTAGAGACATTTATTGCTAAATGGATGCACTTTGAGGCGATACTCTTAAGTGAAATAAATAGGACACACGTGTAAATACCGAATAATTTCTCTAGTGTAAGAAACTGAAAGTGTAAATAAGGACCAAAAGGTATAATAAATAATGTGAAATAGGATAAAAAGGGCCAAAGGGGAAGGGGAAATGGGAAGGGTAGGGGAAAGAAAAGAAGGGAATGGAATTACTATGAGAAAATGAAAACAAAGTCTTTGTAAATAGGGAAGGGTAGAGGGGTTGAAGGGAGGGCAGGGGAATGGGGAAAAAATAAGAACCAAGATATATCATGTAAAGGTACAAAATTTCCAATGATGAATGTTATTATATTGTCTACCTAAAATGTACCAATAAAATTAACTTTTAAAAGAAGATAAAGGGGACCGAGGATTTAGCTCAGTGGTTTCGCCGCCTGCTGCGCAAGCGCAAGGACCCTATAGGGTTCGATCCCCAGTACCCAAAAATAAATAAATAAATAAATATATAAATATTTTAAAAGATAAAGGTCATAAAAAACTTCCTCATGACTTGTCATTCATTAAAGAAAGCTGTTATTGCTGTAGTGACTTTAGTAACATGAATAAAATACTAACTGAATTATAGGAAATATGGTTTTGTCATGTCAATAAATTTTTAATTTGTCAATATCTGTATATTATAAAACACTCAAAAATTCACGATACTTCTTTTGAATGACATTTGTGTAATCCACAATTCTGGGAAGATCTTAAAGCTATTTGGGGTAGGGGAGATTGGTAGATATTAAAATTTCTTCGCGACATAGAAACCTAGAGCTGAAAATATTTAATCTGACTCTCAATAAGCCACATAGCACTGATTCAGTAGGTCACCTTAGAAGAAGATTTCGAACCTCCTTTGTGAAATTTCTGCAAATTTACTAGGTCTTTCAACAAGTGGGGTGACTAAACAAAAATTTCTTTCATAAGTCTACTGGGCAGAGTTTAAATCCACACTCACACATCATGCATAGGATTGTCACATATGTGCTGTTTTCAGCCACACAGATTATAGACACAATGCTAGTTGTATTTCTAGAACAAGGATTGAAATATTCATGTGTATTTTTTAGCACTCTATATATTCTTTTAATAAAAGGTAATTCTTATTCTCTGGATACCATTTACTATTATTTTGTTTAAAGAATTTTATCTTTTCTCATGAGCAGTAATTTTCTCCCCTTTCATTAAATATTTTATTCTTTCTATTTAAAATGACAAATACTTATTATGTTCACATAATAGAGATTAAGTAGAGAATAAATGTTAATGCCTTTATTTCTTTTTAAACTAACTCAGTAAATATCAAGAGCAGTTTTGTTATGGAGTTTTCCTTGAGTCTTTTATTCTCTTATAATCAGGAGCCAACAGAGAAGAAATAACCAAGCACTGGGATTGGTTGGAACAAAATATCATGAAGACCTTATCTGTGTTTGACTCAAATGAAGATATTACTAATTTTGTACAAGGAAAGATAAGAGTAAGTGATATGGGTATATTTTTAAGTGGAATACTAAAATTTTTGATGCTTTCCTATGAGGTTCAGAGGTTGCATGAAAGGTCATTTGTTTACTGAAAACTTTCAAGATTAATAGAAGCACACATACAAACACTTGACTAGTGCTTAACAAAATTGTAAGGCCAATGGTTTGTCTTTGATGTCCTTGTGCATACTCTTACCAATATTTTCATTTCAATATTTCTTGAGTTGGAATTTGAAAAAGCCTTTTGTTCATTTAAAAGAATGTATTTGATACCTATATTCGTAATAGCTCCTTGTGAGGCAATAGAAAAAAACTAGTACAAAACTGAAGAAATTCTGCTTACCTATCTCCTAGAAGTATGTATGTGTACATAAAACATATATACTATAGATATATACAATTGTATTCAAACAGCTGTTTAAAATTAAATATATTTTTGTTGGTAGGTGATAATGAATTTTCAGAAAATATTTTGTCTTCTCTAGGGATTAATTGCTGAAGAGGGAAAACATTCTTTTGCAAAAGAAGATGATCCTGAGAAATTTCGAGAAGCCCTTTTGAAATTTGAAAAATCATTTGGTTTACCAGAACAGGAAAAATTAGTGACCTATTATTCATGCAGTTATTGGAAAGGACGGGTTCCTTGTCAGGGTTGGCTCTATCTTAGTACCAACTTTCTAAGCTTCTATTCTTTTTTGTTGGGATCAGAAAGTAAGTGGTTTCTATTGCTTACTATGGCTTTGAATTTGCTGACTGACCTGTCAACTCTGTGCTGGTGTTAGGTTGCATACAAAATACTTTGATGGGCATTAAAGGTAATTAAACCATACATCAAGAAGTTCATTTCATCCAGAGTAAAGCATTTTAGGACTGGTTGCTTAACTAGGAAACTATTAGACATATGTATGGAAAACTTTACATAGTGTGGTAAGTGAATGACTATTAATAATGGCAATCTGGCATATAACTACTTTCTTTCCTTGTTATAAACTACCTACTTGATTCAGTCCATATTTTAATCCTTGTTGTAAACATAAGACTAAATCTGGTAGCCATTGTGCTTAATGACCCACGTTTTACTTTGGAGCCACAAAGAGGGAGCAAACAGTACTATTTATAGCATATGTATAGCTTTTACTCAGTGGTTATATAATTAGGTAATTGTTATGCAAAGAAACAGTTTTAAACATTAAATCAAATTTCATTTTAATTCTTTAAAATTGTATCCATTTGTAGAATCACTGATTATTGTATATTTGTGGTGATGCTTCACAATTTTAACTAATCTCAAACATTAAAGTATTTTAGCATTTCTCAAGTTGTTATTATTTGAAGAGACCTGATTTACACATAAATCAATATGAGAATATTTAATCATGACTACTTACAACTCTTGTTTACAGTAAAACTCATTATCTCCTGGGATGCAGTCTCAAAACTTGAAAAGACTTCAAATGTCATACTGACAGAGAGTATTCACGTGTGTTCTCAAGGGGAGGATTACTACTTTTCAATGTTTTTGCACACTAACCAAACATACCTTCTTATGGAACAATTGGCAAACTATGCTGTAAGGAGACTTTTTGATAAGGAAACATTTGATAATGACCCAATCCTTGATGATCCTCTACAAATTACTAAAAGGTATTCAGAGCTTAATATTCTTATGAAAAGAACAGTAGCATTAATAAGCATTAAGTGTTATGTAATAGTTTTTCTTTGGAATTAATCATCAGTAACATCATGTGTTAATCATCCCGACATCCTGTATGTTTATTTTTAATTTATTCATATGTATTTCAGATTGTTTCAACCTCTCCATGAAAATTTACCACTAAGAAATAATAGAAATTACGTTTGAAAGTTACTTTTTATGATTTAGGTGGGTTTTGCCCTGGAGTGCTTTTAGAAATGTAGAGATATTTTTGTGTGTATTGTTAGTCTTAACTCCCAATTTCTCTATAAGTAGTGTAGATAATTTCAGGTCTACCATTGCTAAATATGTTTACTTTTTAAAATAATTTACACATAGCATAATTTTTATGAGGAGTCAAGGTAATAGAGCTAGTAGTGCATGGACTTTAGAATGAAAACAGCAATATGGCCATAATGTCTCAGGACTTCAGTTTTCTAATGTCATTTCTACTTTAGAGGGCACTTATGAGGAGTGAGTGAACCATGTAAAAAGCACTTTTAAAAGTGTAAACTACTAGGTAAATGCAAATCATTTTTAGTGCCTATGTCAGAAGTATCTGACTGGTAGTAGCTATCTGCTGCTATATTCAGTTTGCTGGAACTGACCAGAGCTTTTTCATCCTGCTCAACACTCGGTCAACTAAACAGAGCTTGCCAAAGAGGAAGAGGAAAGTGGAGAATCCAGAAATACTAGTGAAAGCAGCTTTTGGTAAGGAAGATGAGGGTATAGACTGTATGAGAAAATGTAAGAAGAATCTATGCCAGAGTTCTATGGATAGACTAGAACAAATGACTTAAAGCATTGTATGACTATTACATAGCCCTAATTGGGTACAGTTGTTTCTCCTGCCTATTTCTAAACCATTCCTAAACTCCATATAAATAAGGATTTCTTTGGATAATGCCTACTTTCTGGAAATTAGATTAATAAGGTGGATATTTTTATACTTTATTTCCAAAATTAAGTTTCAACATGTGTGATTTATATGTAGAACTCTATAGGATTGGGTCTTGTTCATGTTATATTATAGTTGAACATTTGCTTTTGTAGTTTGTTCTTTTCTTTTTTTTTTTTTTTTTTTTTTTTTTTTTTTTTTTTTTTTTTTTTGGTGCCGGGGATTGAACTCAGGTCCTTGTGCTTGCAAGGCAGGCGGCAGAACCACTGAGCTAAATCCCCGGCCCTGTAGTTTGTTCTTTTGTTGGTTGCCAAAAACAATTGTTTTAGCCATTTTATTTTCCTTAACATGTCCTATAAAAGGTCATCTATCAATGAATTATTCATCACCAAGTCTATATTTAAATGAGATATAGTCAATCCATTTTGTCCATGTATATTATTAAGAGAGCCTATTGGGAGCCTCTTAAATGTCTCCCTTCTGCTTACTGTTTTCACAAATGTGTTACTTCTGTAATTTAAATAATACAGAAGCATGGTAATGGTAGTTTAGTATTCATCCAGGCTTTCTAATGCATGAATTAGAAGTATTTGCAAAAACCATGAATGGGACTGAACATAACATTTTTTTTCTCTCACAATAATATGTCATGGACATCTTTCCATTCATATAAATGGGCCATGATCATCCTTTTCAATGATAGTGAAATAACCCACCAAATTACAACTTAAGTGAGGTAAAAATTACCATGATTATCTGGTCATATTTATCAGGATTATTTTGAAAGATGTGATGAAGTACCACATACTCAAATAGTAGGTGCAGTGAGGATGAATTTACTTTTAACTTTATTAGATTTAACTTAGAACTTGTGTAATTCATTTACTACCCCAGATGGCATTGTTGTTTAACACAAGTATTTAGTGGCCCTAGAAAAATTGCACTATTTAAAGTGATTGCTTTTTACTTATATATTTGTTTCAGTTTACAAGTCTTTTCTATTTATCAGCAACTATCCTGTGCTCAACACTATGCAAACAGAATATTATTGTATTATTTCTCTACTTTGGATGTTTTTTTTTTTAACTAATTTTATTAGTACACTTTAGATATATATAATGATCACATTTATAGGGAATTTTACCTGTATATAATGTATCTTGATTCTTCTTTTTTCCCCAATCCCATCCCATCCCTTCAACCCCTTTTCCCCTCCTTATTTACAAAAGCCTTATTTCCATCTATTTCCTTTTACAGTGGACCCTTGACTTACAAACTCAATTCGTTTGTGAGGGCTCGTTGTAACTCAAGTTGGTTGTAAATCAAGACTTTTTCCCATAAGAAATAATGGAAATATCCATAATACATTTCAAACCACCCCTTAACTAAACTTTTCATAATAAAAAAGGGTTGTATAATGTGCGTAATTTCCCAAAAACACCAATAATTTTCTTAGTATATTCACCAAAAAGTTATAAAATGTGCCTAGTTTACCAGAAACAACAATTTCATACTGTACTCACCATTCAAGTTGACATCTTTGGCTTGCAGGAAGGGAGGATGAAATGGAAGGTGGTTATTGTTTGGAAGGAAGTCCCCTTCCATGAGAACATCAGGAATCTGGCTCTCTGGTGTCCTTTCTCTCCTTGGGAGAGTCTGTAGCCCACTAGGACCTGCTTCTGCCTCACTAGGTCTCAACCTTTTCAGAACTAAAAACTTGTCTAAGGTTGTTTCTTTCTGTCTTTTCATTAACACTGTTCTGTAGTATGACATGACATTGTCATTGTCATTCAGCAAGTGAATGCAACAATTGGCTTTTTCTCTGTCTGGGTGGGTCTTCTCTACAAATGTTTGTAGCTTTGTCAATTTTTTCAGGATTTCCTTTATTTCAGAAGAACTTTGCTGCACTGATTGTTGATACTTCCCCTCCTCTTCAGAAAGCTCCTCAGCTGCCATTCTCTGTTGCTTAGCCAGAAGTTGCTGAAGTTCCTCTGTAGACAATTCCTCTGAGTGTTCCTCCACCAGTTCCTCAACATCACCACTGTCTACCTGCAAGCCTATGGACTCTGCTGTAGTGATAATGTCATCAACCACAGGGTCAATTGAAAGCTCAGGCTCCTCTACACAGCCTTCAAAGTCTCTTTCCTGAATAATTTTAGGCCACCACGTTCTTCCAAGCAGATTTCAGTGTCTTTAGAGAGACACTGGCCCTGGATTTCTCAATTAACCCCACACAGGAAAGACTGGCACTCAGGTTGTAACTCAAGACTTTGGTCATGAGTTAAAACTAAAATTCCAGTCATAACCCAAGTTTGTATGTGAGGCCGGACGTAACTCAAGGGCTCACTGTACTCTTTTTTTTCTTTTCCCCTTCTCCTTTTCCTGTTCCCCTTACCATTTAAACATTTTCTTCCTATTTCACAATCTCTATTATATATTTCGGTCCTTATTCACCCTTTTTATTTCTCACACCAGAGAAATAATGCAATATTTAAACATGTGTTCCTGATTTATTTCATTTAAGAATATGGTCTCAAGGTGTATCCATTTACCTAGAAATGTCTCAAGTGTATCCTCCTTTATGGCAGAGCAGTACTCCATTATGTAAAAAACTACATCTTCTTTATCCATTCATCTGTTGGTGGGCATTTGGGTTGTTTCCAAGATTTAGCTATTATAAATTATGCCACTGTAAACGTAAGGAGAGTCTCGGAGAAGATCAACTTTGATCAACTTTTTGAGTGTTTTAAAACATTCATTTAATAAATTTTGTTTGACCTGGATAACTCCCTTCATTTTCTGATAATCAAATATGTAACTTATTGTCTGTCAAATTTAGTTTCAGCCATAGTCACATATTATGAAAATGTAATAATATAATAATAGTCTTCCAGCAAATCACCCCTTAACAGATGGTTTGAAGACCTATGTCATCTCTAACTTTTGTGCATTTTAATCTACTAATAAAATTAAATTGGAAAAAAAGAACAAACAAAATCAGTTTGTTAGAAATCATTGTATTTTCCATTTCAGAATTCATTGAAGAACATAGCATTTAGTGTTTAATCTGTCTGCTTTACAGAATATTTAGATTAATCAATATAGGCATGTATACACCTTAGAATTCATCATTTGAACCCCACTCCCCTTTTTTTTCTTTCCTACAGAGGTTTGGAAAATAGAGCCCACAGTGAGCAATTTATTGCCTTTTTTCGGCTGCCAAAAGAAGAGACGCTGAAAGAAGTACATGAATGTTTCTTATGGGTACCATTCAGCCACTTCAATACTCATGGAAAAATGTGCATCTCAGAAAACTATATCTGCTTTGCTAGCCAGGATGGCAGTCTATGTAGTGTAATCATTCCATTACGAGAGGTGATGTAAATTTGGTTACATATCAGTTTTAATTTGTAAAATGTTCTTTAGTTTTGTAAATTATTAAAAGCTCAATATGCAATATCCTTTTAAATTCAGTATTTAGAATAAAAGTTCTAGCTTTTCAGATATTCTCAGTTCCTTTTAGTACAGCCTTACAGTTCTTACTGAAAGTAAAAATAAAAATTTTAAAACCAGATAAGGGTATTTAGGATGACAAAAATGGATCATACAGACTTCTAAGAAATGAATACCAAAATTTAGACTATCACATTGTGTGGCCTTTGTTAGAAAGAACAGAATTGATAGCTTTTGTGTTAGAAATATTGTTAGCATTTAGCACTGAATTTTTATGTTTGTATTGTCAGTTTTAAAGGCTACATGTTAAATCATTTTCTTGAGAAATGAAATAGCTTACACTGAGGTTACTTGTATTATTGGTACAACTAATACCTAAAGCCCATTCCTTAATAAGTTACACCGTGGGGGCCGGGGATTTAGCTCAGTGGTTCCGCCACCTGCCTTGCAAGCTCAAGGACCCGAGTTCAATCCCTGGTACCAAAAAAAAGAACAAAACAAAAACCAAACCAAACAAAAAAGTTACACCGCGGACTACAACTTTTACCACAAAATAATAAGCTAAACACATTTTACCTGCAAGTGTTAAGAAATGAGGGAAAATGTGATTCACTTATATATCTTTTCAATCTCCAGGTTTTAGCTGCAGATAAAACAGATGATTCCAGCCAATCTGTCATCATTAGCATCAAAGGAAAAACAGCTTTCCGCTTTAGTGAAGTTAAAGACTCTGAACAACTGATAGCAAAACTCAGGCTCAAGTGTGGCACAGCTTCAAGTCAGTGTGATATTAGCACAGAGGTAATTATATATCAGTCAAATTTTTCATTTTGAAAAATAGCTTTGTGTTTTGAAGGTCTAGTCTTTCAAAAGGAATTCATACTACCTTTCATATTAATACCTGTGTTTTTGTTAGAAGACTGATCTAAATAAATTATATTCTCTAAGTCACAGTATAAAGCAGAAGAGTTAAGGACTTTATCTTCTTTAGGAACTCACAGTTTTAAAAGTATTATCATTTGAGCCTTGTATGTTTTCTGCCTTTGTATAAACATACCTTGTATTTTCATATAAATTGGCTTTTAACAACTCAAACTATATTTGAGAATTCAACAAGGCCTTTGAAAATGACTTTCTTATTGCTATAGAGATAATTTTAAACCAATCTGAGTATCTTTTATTTAATATCTAGTAGTAGGTCACCCTTCTGACCCAAAGCAAAATAGTGGCATATTCTTTTACTAGCAAAATATAGGGAATGCACATATTCTTGATAAAGACTGGTTAACTCTTTGATGACTATGATGTTTAGTATGTCTTTCATGGAAATGTAGACAGATGGAATTCAAATAAATTTTCTTTTTCAGTTTCTAGGAACTCCATGTTTTAATAAATTGATAAAACTCACCAAATTATAAATATTTATATTTTAATTAAAATTTAAAAGAAATAATCAACACTATCTTTTCTGGATATATATACAGTCTGCCAAAAATGTATACATCAGGAAAAGAAAAACTTGTATAAATATTTTAATAAATTTATTGAGACATCATGAAATTAATGCAAGTTATCTTTGGCCTTTACAATTACAAGAGGTGCTCAAAGTGGTGGCCATTAGCTTCCTGACATTTATTAGTACAGTGAACTGCTGAAGTATGTATACATTTTTTTGGCAGATTCTGTCTACACACACACAAACACATACACACACACACACATACACACACACTTATGAGTCTAATCTTTTTTTATTAGCATATGTTTGTGAAACAGAATAATTAACTCATCTTGGGGAATTGGTGCATATACATACTACATCTTGATCATTTTTACTTTCCCTTCCTCTCCTCTTTCCAAAAATCCCCTTCCCGTCCTCACTTTGGCAGCACATATACCAAAAATCCTCTTCCCACACCAATAGTAATCACTGCCCATTTCTGTTACTAACTGAGTCACAGATCTCAATGTCTGGATCTGGGTCCCTGTCCAGGACCATGCCCTTGTTCCTTTCTTTCCCAAGGGCCTGCTGATCCTAACTCAGGCACTGCCCTCCAAGTGATTTTCTGGCTTTCAGTTTCTCTGGTGCCCTCATCTACGTATACAGTATCCCATCACTGGGCTCCCCCTCCCAGTGAGATGGGAGTAAGGACAGGTGGGCACTGGATGGTGATTACTAGGTTGGGCCACATTTGCAGCAGCTCAGCCACCTCTGCGGACCTTGGCTTCTTGCCTCAGGGAGTTAGATCTTTTTCCATGATAGTGCCTAGGGTGTAAGCTGTGCTATGATCTAGGATTGGCCTTGCTTCTTTTTCTAAATACCCCAATTCACTTCTAAATACCTGGAATTCATCTTGTAGGCTTCTCCTTCAAATGCCTTGTACTATACTTCCCAGTGCTTCTATTCTGAGCACCCCTCAAGCACCTCTGCCTCTAGTCAGCCATTATGGAAATCCTCTGGAAATCCTTCTATCATTTATTTGGACTGAAGTATAGAGCCTTTTACTGCTCTTTTCAGAATAGAGACTGAAAATAATATGCTAACTTATACAATAATATATTTTATATAATAATATATAATAATATGCTAATTATAGTATCGATAAGACTAACTTTCCCTTTAATAAACCTTAATAAAAACATATATGTCATCTCAGTTACAGATATAGAATTTTTGTGTTGGCCATCCAGAGTTTTTCTTACCCCAACATTATTCTTCATTCTCTTTTATGTTCTTTTTTGGGGGGGTACTGGGGATCGAACTCGGGACCTTATGCTTGTGAGGCAGGCAGCAGAACCACTGAGCTAAATCCCCGGCCCCTTCATTCTCTTTTGATAGTGTACCTAGAATGCTCCTTAGTTTGATGGAGAACACAAGTAAAATGTGATCAGTCTTGGTAGTTTCTATCCCAGTGCTCCCATAGTCTGGCTTATGTCCATTTTGTCCTTCTCCTATTCTATTTCATATTCAGTCTTTTAGATCTAGTGTTCTGATCATCTTTCCTTTCTTTAATTTATCTGCCTCTCCAAAACCTAGGGAGCTGGAATTTTTCCCTGAAAATTCATATGCCTCTAGTAGTTTAGTATTCTCAGTTATCAAGAAAAGATTTTGTTTCAAATGAGTTTACCATCTTCCCAGATATGTTAGAATTCTCAGGTTTTCTGATTTATCTTACCTATAATATATACAAAATACCAGTCACTATACTGGTTTGCTTTGACATGTATTTTTTTATTATCATAATGTTCTGTTTTTACTGAAGATTTGTATCTTAGCAATGAAGAAGAATATTAGGCCATTCTAGTATAATCTATAGATATATCTAGCTTTCTTGATAGTACATTTTAAAAATTAATGAAGAGAAAGCTTTTTTCAACAAGAGTTCCGTTTGATTTCTAAATAACAGATATTGTAGCTACATTTTTTTGTAGCTACACCCAGCTTACTGAAACAGAAAAATGTATTCTATAATTATAATGAACCCAGTGAATTTTACACAAACAATAAGACTTTTAAATCTAAATCTCAGAGTCTAAATCCACAAACACAGTATGCACTTTAGGAAATTTTTCCTGTGAATACATCAAAAATTGATACCAAGTACAAATGCTCCCAGAAGTAATTGGGATTATGCGTAAGTACCAGTTCTATATAAATTTTAAGCAGGTGTAAATTAAAATGTTCTACAGTTTAATAAGTTATACTAAAACCTGGGTGCATGAACTGGTTTTATAAAATTATACCCAACTACTTAGAAAACACATTAATCTCTTCCTTCTTTTTGTTTTGCTTTTGCTGTTCTGGGGATTGAACCAGGGCTTTGTGTATGATAGGGACACATTCTACCACTTTAAACCCCAGCCCAATCTTTTATAATCTTTTATTGACACATAATATAATCAAGGACTATTACTAGACAATTTTACAGCTATTTAAAACAGGGAAAATTTGCCCATTTAGCCTAGTTTTAGGCATGGTGGTCTAAGAATACAAAGGACTATTGAACATCCCTACTTGATGTTTTAGTATATGTGCTGCCTGCTGAGGCAAACACTCCTACTTGATGTTTTAAAAATTCCCTTACAGGGCCGGGGATTTAGCTCAGTGGTTCCGCCGCCTGCCTCGAAAGCAGAAGGACCTGAGTTCGATCCCCGGTACCCCCCCCCCAAAAAAAATTGCCTTACAAGTGAATCATGCAATGTCAAGATTAAAAAATTTATAAAGGTGTTGCCTCGTTCTAGAATTACAAGGAAAAGCCAATGAAAAATTTTAAATTCAAAAAAGTAATAGGTTCCTTATTCTGCACGAAAATGCATACAGCAATAGTAGTTTAACCCACATACCTAGTTTTTCTTTGCTTAGTAAGAATAAGGTAATGTGTTTCCCATTACTATAATATTAATTAGAAATAGACATTGTTGCTATGGGGTGCATTTATTTCTAAGATAGGAAACTAGAAATTTTGTTAGAAATAAAATTGACACTTCATTTTAAGTTATGCACTGTGAACAGTTTATATAAGCTAAGCTTCTGATATTCAAAAGAAATATTTCTTTGTATTTTTCATCTTAATTTTGGCTTTACAGATCAAATCTGGCCCCCAACCACCATTTATTATGCTGAGTTTTAAAGATATTCTAATTGGAATCTGTTATTTTGTGGAAAGGTTACACATAAAGAAATATTAATATTTGTCATGCCTTTCCTTCACTGTTAAAGCTATATGCTACTTCTAAAGTCAGTGTCAGATACCAAAAACCAAAGAAGTTTAAGAATATCTGGCACAGAATCAACAAGTTGTTTTGCTTTATAGATGTGGTTGGATTTTCCTTAGGCAGTAAATGTCTGATGAGTGCCAAGTTTATTCCACTCGTACTTGTGAACATTCAGATACATTGGTGTGTGGAATCATTATGGCTAAGAGATAAAACCTTCCATTCAAAAGAGTCAGAGCAAAAAATATTCAAAAAATTAAGCTTTGTTTCTTGAATTAGCTACTTTATTATACGCTTTAAACAACACAAATATTAAATAGATTTAATTCACCATCTTTGAAAGTAAATGTGTTAATGTGATTTTGTGAATACTTAAGAGCTACTCAGACTCACTGAGAGAGAAATTTGGGAAACAATTCCTTTTACAATAGCATCCAAAAAAATGAAATATCTAGGAATCA